CCTTCAACAACATGGGCTATGTCACTCCTCACTGATGAAATGAAGTACTGAAACCAGAGCAGCTTGAAAAGAAGACAGGGCTCGGAGACTCGTGTCATCGAACACATCAGTTCAAATCCAATTCATGCCACTGAAACCTCTGACCTAGGATTTCCTTAGGCTGCTTATCCAACAGGGTCAAGCGAGTCTCCAAACTGCAGGGAAGAGTGTCAAACTGCAGATCCCAAGTGAAGCGAGACTCTTCTCAACAGCCCGGACTTGGTGCTTCACTCACGGGGCTTCAGGCAGACTGAGAAGAAAGTCTTTCTCCTAGCTGGTGCGATCATAGAATCATAGAATGGTTTGGGTTGGAAGGGACCTTAAAGATCATCTAGGTCCAACCCCCCTGCCATGGGCAGGGACACCTTCCACTAGACCAGGTTGCTCAAAGCCTCATCCAGCCTGGCCTTGAAGACATCCAGGGATGGGGCATCCACAACTTCTCTGGGCAACCTGTGCCAGTGCCTCCCCACCCTCTCCGGGAAGAATTTCTTCCTGATATCTAATCTAACCCTCCCTGATTTCAATTTGTACCCATTACCCCTTGTCCTGTCACTACAGGCCCTTGTAAAAAGTCCTCTCCCAGTACCCTTGTAGGCCCCCTTCAGATACTGGAAAGCTGCAATGAGGTCTCCTCGGAGCCTTCTCTTCTCCAGGCTGAACAAGCCCAACTCTCTCAGCCTGTCCCCATAGCAGAGGTGCTCCAGCCCTCTGAGCATCTTCGTGGCCTCCTCTGGACTCGCTCCAAGTGGTCAATATCCTCCTTATGCAAGTCATGGACCACACTACTTCAAAGCCTCTGCTCTTCTTTTCTCATATGGTATCCAGACCAAAACATGTCAAATTTTAGTGCACTTTTACAATTAATGCTTTCTGTCTGAACTTAGTTGGAAGTTTTTGGAATAGCAGTTTTAGGATCTGATTGGATTTTTGCCATTTGCAAAGCATTACCTCTAAGAGTAGGAGGATACCATGTATGACTCTTCATTCTTCCTGCTCTACTTCACATATGCAAACTGCCATTTCACACTGTACAAATAAAGGAAATTAATTGCTCCTGGCACCCCTTGAGTACTTGCCTACAGACACATCCAGTACAAGCAGAGCTGCAATGAAGGCTCTGGGAGGGATCTGGCTGAGGGAACGAGTTTTTACAATGCAGGAGACCGCATCTGAGCAGGTGACCTTGGGCCCTCACGACGGTCAGCGGAGGAGAAATAACGGACGTCGTCATCGGGACACACTGAGCAACTCCTCTCAACCTGAAGTACGCACCCATGTGTGGCCGGATGCATAGCACCCCAAAGCCCACTGGCTATGGTGGGAGACAACCAAGCAACTCTCTCAGAAGTGGACATCTCAATTTAAATGAGACGAAGCCCTGTCGGCTGCCCTGAAAACTTTTCAACCCATTAAAACCAGACTTGGCTTTTTCAAACCCAAACCCTGTGACCTGACATCTGTTTATACGTTAATGACCTCGGTGTAATCAGCGGGGTTTGGTCTCAGGAGCTTTACCTGGTAAGCATGGTCCGTGTGTACGAGGTAGAGGTTGGTAGGAGCTGAGCGGCTCAGAGGTGTCATCAATTTAGTCTCAGTTTTGGCACAGGAAGTAGTTTCGGGACGGATTGCGTCTTGGGTGGGAAAGGAAGGAGGAGATGCTAAAGATGGAGAGACTGGGGAAAGACTGCTTAAGCCATCAGCTACTGAGTCCGTGTTGAGCCTGATTTCTGTGTAGTAAAAATCCTCCTCTCCATCGCTGTAGTCAGACTCTCCTACACGTCTGTATCAAGACAAAGAACGAAGGACTGATTTAATGAAAGCAACAACGCCAAGGTGAAATTTATGTTCTAGATGTATGAGCAAATATATTCATACTGTCAATAAATTAGTATTCCCAGTTTCAACCCTACCTAATTTATCAGCATTCTGGCTGCAGGGAAGGGGAGAGGAAAAGAAAGTCATCTAGTCTGAAGGGAAAAGGAGCAGGAATTAGACTTTTTTTTTCTCTCTGTGTTATTCTTGCCTAATTCTTTGACCTTGGAGTAGATTTTTAACTTCTGTGCTTCAGCTTAGTTTCTCATTCCTAACTACTGAAGTTAACAAGAATCTCAATGCACTCGGACTTCAGCAGTGACAGAGACCCGCCACAGAAGGACGGGTAAAGATAACAAACAAGGGCAAGTTTGTTCACAAGGGCAATTAGTTCACTAATGTAACAGCAAACAATACGTCACCTTATCATAGATTATTTAATTAAAACAAATGTAGTTATGGCCATGGTTCACTACAACTTTCCTTGGCATAACAGGAGCTGCTAGAAAACAGCCTCACCATGCAACTCTCTCAGGCACAGGGAGAGAAAGGACACGTAAGGGCTGACTTGTTAGTGTTGGCCTTTTTGTTCCTACTCTCTAGGTAAAGAAGGAGGAGATGTACTACAGCTGTAACTCACAGCTCACACATCCGTATTTTCTCCTGAATCTTCCATATAGGATATCTGAGAGCCCTAAGCGTCCTCCTGCCTGCATGTCCACATCAGGGCTGAATGCTAGGCCTCTTCTTTTCCTGGCATGCACCCCAAAACCAGCCCCTAGACAGTTCCTCAGCCTGCCTGCCCACGTACCTGTGCTCCTCTCGCCACCTTACTCAACAGAACTCAAGAGAGCATGGGCTCAGCACGTCTGAAAGGCTCTACCAGAAGTACCATCTGTCTGACTGCAGCCAGTCACTCACCAAATTTCCTCTCTCCAGCAAAGTTACAAACTCCAAATTCCAGGGAAGTTCTGTGGTCTACTTCTCCTCTCCCATCCCCGTAATTTAGAGGATAAAGCAGCACTCGTAACTGCATTTTGAGAGGGATTTTCTCTGACAGCCTCACCCTTCAGAGCCTAAGCCTAAGAGCAATTACTAGGACTTTTGCAAAACTCTCCTGAGCTCCACACCAGACTACTCCCTCATGGTCACTTTGATTTTTAAGCCCTGGGTAACACAGACTTACACAAGAGATGTATTTCCCCATACCTAACAGGTGAAGGACAGGAGTCCTCACTGTAACGATGCATGAGACATCTAGGTCACTCACCGAGTTGCACAGGAGATTTCAGTTGCAAACAAAAGCTCTTATGCAACTTTGTGTCACACAGGATTCATTCACTTTTGCCTCTAGTCCAAGTAACATACACATGGAGTTATAGCTGAGTTTCTTTTCCTTAGGTTTCTTACGGATTTGGGATTTTTTTGAGTTAATTTGACTCAGAACTCGTGCAAGTACCTGATCGGATGCGAAACAAGGCTGGAAAGTATTCATGTAGGACACTGAAACCTGTTGCCTTTGGCTCAGTGCCAGCCTGGACACGGCATGCAGACAGCAGATACAAAGCAAATGCTTCATTAGGGGAGTGCAGTGTGACCTACAGCTGTATCTGACCTTCTAGTAAAGTTCACAAAAGTTCAGGATGGAAAGTGCCTTGCTGTTGGCCTAAGTTCCTGTTCACCAGGATGCATTACTCCACGATTTCCTCAGAAACCTGGAGATCTGAGACAGAAAAGGCAAGGACAAGCCACTTCGTCTCCCTGGCCAAGTGCAACTGCCCCCCTTCCACACCAAATCCTTGAGACTTGTGAAGAGACTGCTCTTACCCAAGGTGAACGGTCCGTATGTGTTTCTGAATCCCTGCAGCTGTGCTCAGTACCTTCCCACAGTTTTTCCACAGGCATTTGAACATCACCTTCATGGAGTTCTGGAAATCACGAGTAAAACATGATTTGCATAAAAAAATAGAAAGAAAACCAAACCACCCAAACCAGATATATGGTTACAAAACACTGCAAAGGTTCAGAGCCTCTAACTCTGAATTTGTAACGATGTAATAGTCTCTGTCAACAGCGTCATCCTACTGAACTCAACAAAACCCCAGTGAAAGCCAGAGGAGTAGCTTGTGCCAAAACTTTACCTTTCACTGCTCTTTGGCATGGCTTTTCCATTTGCAAGCTCCAGTTTCTGTCTCCCCACTAAAAGGGGTAGATGACATAAAAACTTCCTACACTTCTTTGGACTCTTTCAAAGAATAACTGTTGAGGACTGCTCAATGGAAGACATCCTCCTTAATGCAGATCTTCCTAAAGCAAGCTCTTATAAGTATTTCTGCTTGTCAGTTTTGCAACACAGGAATAATATTGTGCCAGAAAACTGGAGTTTCTGCCATGCCAGTATTCATCCATGAGCTGGCAACACCTGCTTTTATTTTGTTCAGAAGCTGTTGTGTCCCTTACCTGGACATGAGCATGGGAAGCCGTCTAGCTGTGTTCAACATTTTTTAAAGAATATGTGTATTATCTCATTTTAATATTCTCATTATATTCTTTAATATAGCCTCATTGGCCTAAACTGAGTTTTCACTGATTGAGAGCACAGCCAACAAGGCTATAACCAGCTCTACCTCCAATATTTTGAAGACTCTGGAGAAAACTGGTCTTAACTTAAAGCACAGTATGTGGTAACAAACACCACAGATGTTGCAGAACTGTATAGATTTTTTTAAAGCTAGTTTTGCCCAAAAATGAAATCTACTTTAGATATTTTAAATTTAGAAAAATAATCTAAATAATTTGTACTTCTCAAAAATAATTTTCGCTATTATTACAGAACACATTATTAAAGAAAACATAAGGAAGAACTTCAAAATACTGTATTATTACCCTATAATTCTAGTTACATGTAAGATTAAATGAATATATCCATATAAAGTTTGATTAAAAAAAAAGGAACACGTACATCCTTAAGAGTTAAGTACATGCTTTTCTGGGTCTTGAACAAAAGCTGACTTGCTGCTTTCTTCAGTTTGGACCTTTTGGAACTATATGCAGCAGATGGCATATTCCTGCATTTGCTGAAATGATTAGAATATATTTTTTTACCAATGTCAGCTGATGGGTTTTTTCAAATACAAGTTGACTGTAGTAGCATGTTCTCACAGTCACTTGGCAGTCTCACATCTCCAGTTTGAAAGTATAGGTGCTAACGGCTTAAAGATTTGAGGTACTTGATCATACTGTTTGTATGAAAACCTTCTACTTCAGAATAAATTGCACATAAATTCCCTCTACAGTTTTTTAATCTGATAATACAAGTACAATTCAAACAGATACAGAACTCTCTTTTCCTAAAATTAAATGTAATCTATCTAGCAATTCTGATAGATCCATTTCGTACTTTTACAATATAACACTAAGCACTATCATCAGCTCAAAACCCCGCAACCAACCATGGTGACAACATGAAGACCATGTTTATCATTTACATCTTAGGAATTCTGGTATGACATCATGAACACCATCTTTGTGAGCACAGAATGGTTTAACATCAATCTCCAGCTTGATGGTAAAACCAATTTCCTAGCTCCACTGTGGTTTTCAGCTTTATTGTCAATTCTAGGATTCTGCAAAAATCCATGCATTTTAACATAACCAAATGAAATCTCACTCAGTAGAAATACAGAACATAAATCACGCTTCCATTTCTGACTAGTCAAAACATTGATTAATCAGGCTTAATGTTTTATTTAAGAAAATAATGGAACATAAATGGTTTGGTGGAAAACAACTACATTAGTGGAAACTTTTAAGCAAGTGACTTTCTTCATGGGAAGTGGTTGCTAACATGACATTTTCCAAACATGAAATGGAAGAAACTTTAATGCGTAAGATTACCAATCATTCTATTTCCAGTTTTGTTCCTTCTGATTTTTGCAGGCCTGAAGAACACATAACCTGAACGTTTTTATTTCAGCATCTAAAGGTGCGGAGCTGCACTCCGATAAAGAACCATGCTGGGACCAGAATAAAAAAACCCGCAGGAAACGCAGTTTATTTAGAAACCAAAGTTTGGCAGGTAATGTTATTATTTATCTATGTTAAACATTTGCCATACAGAGCAAAATCCCTGCGACCCAGAACAGACAGTGTAATAGATCTGTGGTGGGTACAGAGTATTTGAAGATGACTTAGATAATCCCATCTGTCTTATTAAGGCTGTGCAGTAAGAGCGATGCTGGTAAGCGGGACTTTAACTGAGAAGTAAAAGGCAAACCAGCAC